ACGGTAATCGTCGAAGAGGTAGATCATTTGGCCGAAGGGGCCATTTGGATTACATCGTTTCTGTCTGATCGTTTATATGTTACACTCGACAAGAAGTCAAGAAAGATCGATCTATGTATATGAGTATATACTTAAATGAAAATGATCTTATCAAGTTTGATAATAACTTATCAATGAAGTTATTACAATGAAAAATAAATATCTGATATCTTTCTGATATCCAATATTTCGAATTTCAATACTAATAATGTTTATTTAAATAATCATTTAACACGAGTTTCCAATTAAATTACATTTAATTAACAATAAGTTTCATTTAAATTCATTTAATTAACAATAAGTTTCATTACCATGCCGTATACATTTAAAATGGTACACGTTACTAGGTTAACCCATTTCTTTTTTATTTTTACATTATTTTTATATTATTTATACATACCATGTATATATTTATTTTGAAATATGATTTTTTAACATGAGTAATATTTCATTTAATCCTTCATTTAATTGTAAAAAATGAACTAATCACAATAAATCAATATAAAATATATTCAAACATAACTTTCATTAACGGCTAACTTCAGACTTTTGTAGAACGATGCGCGCGCAACTAAAATTTTGATCTCAACCCGCGTCAAAACAAACAAATATAATTTCAATAATTAATTCGATATAACGAACAAATAAATCAATGTATTTATCAATTATACAAAGTGAGTTTTGCTAATAAAACTATCTTCAATAATTTCATAAATTATTCGTCGTAAAAAAAAACAAAAAACAAAAAACAACAAACAAAAAATGTTTCGAACAATAATTCAATATGACGTCTAAAAGTGTCTAACAAATAATCCAATTTATTGGTTTAAATATAATTATTCATTTAAATCCAAAATTAAACATTAATTTACCATTTAATTATATTTAAAATTTTATTAAATAATATAAAAATAACTCACGCGTTAATAATAATCCAAAACAAAAACTAATAACATTTCTTACACATTTTATTTTTTCATAGAATTATACTTAAAATAATACAAATGTTAATTTATCAATATCATGGCATATATATATATTACATGAAACAAAAATTGTTGCCAACATTTCGAGCCCACTTTGCAATGCGAGGTCTGTTGAACGAGACGAAAAGAATGAAAGAGAAAGAGAGAAAGATAGAAAGTGAGGTTAGGCCACTCTGAAATATTTTAATGGTGCTTTGTGTTCCTCTCTGCATTCTCTCTCTCTCTTTCTCTCTCTCTTTTTCTCTTTCTCTTTCTATCTGCACACCGAAGAAGCATCTTCCCTTATTCGAACGCTTCTTTCCATCGACCTTTGTTTCTCTTTCTCTCTTTATCTTTCTCTTTCTCTCTCTTCTCTCTCATTATACTGCTTTCGGTCGACGTTTCTTGACCACTGGTTATTTTAATTGGATCTTCGCCGATGCTTTTTCTACGTTTCGTCTCGTTTCCTTTCCTTTCTTTCATTTCTTCCTTTCTTTAACCTAAAATCTTTCTTCTTTCCAATTCTAAAAGGGTGGGGGTAAGGGCTTGAGGGATTCTGTACTTAACCCAATCCCATCTTTGGAAATCTTGAAGGATTTATATTATTATTATATATACAAGGTGTTCAAAAATGTTCCTATACTTCATTTATATCACATATTAATAATTGAATATAAATAACAATTTTTTTTATTTATTTTTATAATCATTAGTATGGTTTTTGTTTTTTTTTTTATTATATTATCAAAATATAGGATTGTTTTCGTAATATTTTACAAATTAATTTCGTTTTTTTTTTTAATGATTCGTTATGTAAAGGTTATAATTGTCAATCATTCAGTTGATTTTTATAGGTTATGTGATTAAACATATTATTTATGAGGGGGCATGGGCTAACGTTGAAGTATTGAGTTTATAATAATACGATTAAAAAACGGATTTTTTCTATAGAATAAATTTAATTCTAAATATATTTATTATTTATTTAAAAATATACTGAAAATATTTGAAATAAAAATCAGACCAATCGTTAATTTTAAATTGTTTGTAAATTAATTGTAACAAAACCTTGCGTTACTTGTAAAAGAAAAGAATCGTCGAATAATTTTACAACTGAAGATAATAAATCATAAATAAATAATTGTAATTTGTAACAATTTAAGTAGGAATTATTTTATACGAACTTTGTTTTTCTCAATTGATTTGAATCTAATACATAATAAAATCGATTTCAATCTCGATCTTTTTGCGAACACTCCAATGTATATATAAATAAAAATGACAAGAAAAGAAATAAAATCCTTGAATTATTTTCTATACGTAGTTATTCTACTGTTTTCATCATTCGAATCATTCTTATATTATTATTATGCACATACGTTTCAGTCGGTAACTTTTAATGTTCCGAATATTTCTCGTTAGTTTGATGATAATATACGAGCCAGTAACATTATACACGGTCTGTGTGTCCCCCCCCCGCCCCTATGTTTTTATTTATTTATTTATTTAATACTTATTAATAATAACATATAATTTGTTATTTTAATTTTTCCAGACAGTTTATACACGCGAAAGGAATTTCTGTTTCAGATTGAAAAAACAAAAACAAAAAAACAAAAAAAAAATTGTTGTTGTTGAAAATTCATTGATAAAAAATCACTGACCGAATTCTCCATAGATAATTGGATTAAATTTGGAAATAAAAAATAAATCAAGTGTTTTACGGAAAGATCTAGGAACAATGGACATTGAAAATACTTGTCTATCTATAAAGTTAGAAAAATTATACAGTGGCTGACGTGACGATATCAGATAAAAAAAAAAAAGAAAACCTCAGTCGTGAATAAAAGGACTACCGAAAGTAAAGATGAACCTAACCGAAAGATTAGCATTTTTCGCTGCGGGAGGGCTTTCTCGAGCAATACCATTCAAATAAAAACACGAAAGATTATTTTACAAGCACGGGATCTTAATTTAATGACACACACGTTTTTCTTTTGCTTTACATCTTACAAGATCGTAGACACGTCGATTGGAGTATTATTCTATCGAAACAATTTTACAATTGATTAATTAATTCTTATTGCGAAATATCAAAGCATTTTTTATCAATTTTTTTTTCTTCCAATACATCCTTTTTTTGATGAATACGAATTTATCCTTTTGCATGTGAGCTTCATTCATTTGCATGTGAAGGTAATTCATTTGCAAGACAAATTCATTCATTTGCAATTCAAATGTATACATTTGCAAATCAAATTCATTCATTTGCAATTGAAATTCATTCATTTGCAAGTGAAATTAATTCATTTGCAAGTCAAATTAAATTCATTTCCAAGTCAAATTCATTCTTTTGCAATTCAAATTATCCTGTTGAAATTCAGAATTCATTCGTTTGCAAGTGAAAATAACTCTGTTGCAATTTAAATGCATTCATTTGCAAATTAAATAACACTGTTGCAATTGTAGTTAATTTTTTTTGCAAGTCAAATTTCATTCATTTGTAATTCAATTCATTCATTTGCAATTTGATTTAACTCTGTTACAATTCAAATGAACCCTTTTGCAATTCAAATTCATTCATTTGCAAGTGAAATTAATTCATTTGCAAGTCAAATTAACCCTATCGTAATTCAAATTCATTCATTTGCAATTTAAATTCACCCCGTTGTAATTCAAATTAATCCTTTTACAATTGAAGTTAATTTTTTTTTTAATTCATTCATATGCAAGTCAAATAAAAAAAACCCTTTTGCAATTGAAGTTAATTTTATTGCAAGTGAAATTAATCAAATTGCAAGTGAAATTAATCGAATTGCAAGTGAAATTTCGCAAATTACAATGAAAAATCTGACCTTACTTAACAACTTTATATATCCTAATTTAAAAGATAACATAAATAAAAAGAGAAAAACAAAAATTAAAAAGAAAAAGTAAAAGTAAAAGTAACAAAGTAAAAGTAAACCACGTGTGTGTATGTATGTGAGTAGCTGCAAAGATTAACAAAAGAAGATAAACGGCATCAGATCTTAGCGAAATCTAGATCGTTCATCTTTCTCGTGCATGAACTCGAATGGTTCGTTCGTTCCTTCGTGGTTCGATCGAAAAAGAAGCCGATGCCCTTCAAACGTGCAAGAATATTATGCGAATTCTACTCAGGTAGACATTGATATAGGGGTTCTGCCGTCGAGACTCTGGTATATCGATAATCGTTCTCTCTCTCTCTCTCACACACTTTCTCTCTCACTCTCTCGATCAAAGAGAAAAGATCATTTTTCCGATAAGTCATATTCACCACGCCCCCCTCCCTTCACCCCACTTTCTTTTTTTTACAATCTTCATACGTCTACGCCCCCTTTTTACATCTTTTTTTACTCGATTACTATCGTGAGCATTGAGATTTTTTTTTTTTTATTTCTTTTCCGTTCTGACATTTTCTACATCAGATTATCTCGTATAAAAGAGTTTTGTCACAGAAATATATAAATCTAATTAATAATGTAATATTTATAACAATTTGATGAAGATTAAGGTGAAAATAATGACAATGAAGATGAATATGACAATGACGATGAAGATTATCATAAGATTACCATAAAGTAATCAAATTATCATAATTATGACGATGAAGATTATCATAAGATTATCAAATTATCATAACAATGATGATGATGAAGATGATGATAATAATGACGACGACAATGAAGATTATCATATAATAATATTATCGTAAGATTATAAAATTATCAAAAAATGACGATGAAAATGAAGATGAAGATGATAATAATGACAATGAAGATGAATGTGACGATGACGATGAAAATTATCATAAGATTATCAAATTATCATAATTATGACGATGAATATAAGAATGACGATGATGATGAAGATTAATTTGACGATGAAGATTATAATAAATATTATCATTTAATAAGATTATCATGAGATTATCAAATTATCATAAAATAATGACGATGAAAGTAATAAATGTCTCACCTCGTTTGCCGTGGTTCCTGGATTTGCCCAAGTATGAGAAGGGCTATCGCGGTTGCCGCGAGTTCACCACGACGCATCTCTTACATCACAATCATCACTTTTGTTTTTATTTAGATAGTATTTGATTCGTCAAAACTTATTTATCAATATCACACTAACGTATAAATAATACCAATAATAAATTAATATTAGTTCGTTCACTCAAATGTTTTCATTCTTCAATTCACTTAAAATTGAATGTTCTTCTTGGTCAAACTTTAACCTTCACAATCAATTTTAAAATTAATTTCAATCAAATTGAATTCAAATCAAATCACTGATAATATTGTCTATCTTTTCTTTTGTTCTTGATTTTTCTTTTTCTTTTTTTTTTTTTTTTATTTCAGCAACAAAGATAAATTTTATTATTTCTTTGTGTTGTTAAGTTTCTTGCGTAAGATTTTCTTCTTATTCATTTTGTTTGAAAATTTAAAAAAGTATGACGATCTTGACCTTGTTTGTTGTTTGTTCTTTTTTCATAGATCCCATCTAAAAATCGGATACATCAAAGTACGTGAATTAAAAGTAAAAGAAAAGAAAATAAGATGAAGAATATAAGAAGATCATGGTGATGTTCAAACAAAGAACGATAAACGTATATATTTAAACTCGACGAAAGAGGACGAAAGTGTGAAGAAATATTCCTTGTTTCTTTTTTTTCTTTTTTCTTTTTAAAAAACGCAACTCAAAAACGCATTTGTGGCATTTCTCGAGTGTTTGCTAACTTAACAGGAGGATACACTCCAAGAGGATATTATTTAGTTGTCCAAGTTAAATACTTCAGAATAAGAAAGAAGAAACAAAAAAGAAAACAATGTTTAATCCTTTTCAATCTATCTCATACTCTCGTGACTAAGCTTCTTTAAAAAAAAAAAAAAAAGAAGAAAAAAAACAAATAAAAGAATAAAAATGAACGAACAGGATCAAAGAAAAAGGTTGAAAAAGAAGATAACAAGAAGGAAGAAGCTGCAGCAACAGCAACAGCAACAGCAGCAGCAGCAGCAACAGCAAAAGAAAAAGAAGAAAAAGAAAAAGAAGAAGAAGAGGATGATTTCAAATGTAAAAGAGAATCATCAGTATTTGAACTGTTCTGTTGGTTTAACAAGGTCGGTAGCCTCCACTTGTATTGGTTCGCGTGCCAAAAGACTATTGCTCTGGTTTATCTGTCAAGTTACTTAATTAAAAACGATTCTTTGATTTCGAGAATTATCGTCTTTTGAATAAAAAAAAGAAATGAAAGAGAGAAGAGGAGGGATACACAAAAAAAAAAGATGGAGAGAACGTTATTTTGCATATCTCTAGGATTTTGTTTGTGTTCGTGTTTGTGCATTTGTTTTTTGTTCTTCTTTTTTATCTTCTTTGATTTCTTTTAACACATTTTAGAAATGATAATGACGACGATGAAATTTATTCATCTTCATTAAGGATTAAATGCATTCTCAATTCTTTGTGTAGAATTTAGCATATGTTATTTATAATATTAATTAATTTAAACTTATAAGTATTTTTTAATTTGAAAGATTTATAAAAGAAAATTTAAATTGTTTGTAGAATCAATCATGTATTATTTATAATATAAAGATACTTAAAAGTATTGAAATGTTTATGATTTATAAATGTATTCTCTTTTAATTCTTTGTGTAGAATTTTGGTATAAGTTATTTATAATATTAATTAATTTAAATAAGTATTTTTAAGTTTGAAAGATTTGTAATTAAAATCTTCATTTTTTGTAACATCTATCATATATTATTTATAATATTAATTAAAATTTAAATAAGTATTTATAAATGTTTAAGTTTTATAAATATAACCTCTTAATTCTCTTTGTAGAATATTGTATATTATTATAATAATTTATTTAATAATTAATTATATAATATATTATATATTTTTTTATTATATATATATATTATTATTATATAATAATATTGTATATTATTTATAATATAAATTAATTTAAGTATTTAAATGTTTAAAATTCATAAATATAATCTCAATTCTTTTGTAAAATCAATCATTATTTATTTATTCAAGATCTCATATTATCTAACGTTTCAAATACCTTCTCCCACTTATTATATATCTCTCTCTCTTTCTCTCTTTATTTTTGTAGAAGAAAGAAATATGTTTAAATGTTTATTAGCAACTATACGATAATGAGAAATGATAATCAAATATTATAGTTACTTGTAAAGTGTGCACGTATATTTCTCTCTAACTTGTCTATTATAATATTGAAATTGTTAACAAAGAAGAAGAAGAAGATAAAGATCAAAATTATATCCGTGTTTCTTTATAATCATTCTCACATTTATCCTTGTTTAAATTATTTTCTATCGTTGTTCACTTTGTTCATCCTTCGATGATAAATTAATTGAAGATTTATCCCAAACGCACAATTTCTTCTTAACTTTTTATTCAATTTGTTCTTCTTTTCACAAATTCGTGAAGTAAACTGTAGCCCCTTTTTCAATTTTTTTTTTTGTTCAATTTTCATTTACAGATTAATTATTATCACAAAATCTTTTCAAACAAAAACCAAATCCTTTTTATCTCCTCGTGTTCTTTATATTTCAAACAATTTTCTATTTCCAATCAAATTAACCAAATCCATCAATAACTTCAACCAACATCATCACTAACACCACAACAATTACCACTAACACATTGAAGTTCACTTTCTACCACTACTACTATATTTAACAACAACAACAACAACACTAACAACAACCCCTGTCGTTGATTCCTCTTGAACAATCCTATTAGATTAACATTCATTTCCGTCGGTAATTTTCATTCCGAATTAAATCCACAGTTGTCAATTTGATTGTCATAATCCTTTCCAAAAAAAAAAAAATATCCTTTTTTTATTAATGATAATATTCTTGATAAAATTGTTGATATTATTTTTGTTTAAAAAAAAATGTTTGATAAGTGTATTACACCAAATGATGTCTTTGAAATCCACTTTGCAACCGAAACTTCTTCTTTTTATTATTTTTCTTCTGAAGACAGGTTTCTTTCTTACTTGTCAAACTTGATCACACTCTTTTAACTCATATAAATATATAAATATATTTATATCTTCTTTGTTTTTATATTCAATTTTGTTGAGATACTTAAGATCAAATAAAATAAGATTTCATTTTGATATTAAAATAATACAAACATAGTTATAGTAGTAGTAGTAGTAGTAGTAATAGGTAGTTAGAATATACTGACGTGATTACACGAACTGGAGCAAAGGGTAACTGTGCAAGGTGTTTTCGAAGTGACCCAAGTTACGTTTGTTGTTCAAGGTAACCATCACCACAACGGCGCCAGTGGCACTACCATTCGAGTTGTACGACTACCACCACCACCTTCATCGTCATCATCATCATCGTCACCATCATCACAACCACCACTAGCACTAACGATGACAGTAGCAACTAGACTACCAATAATAATAACCAATTGACAGTTGAAATATTCAAAATGATTATATTCACTATTATTATAATAACACCATGTGTGTGTATGTTTTTTTTTTTATTATTTATAATAGTAATAACAATAATAGGAAATATATAAACACGATGACAAACATGAAATATTCACTATGATAAAATATCACCGTTTGTTTTCATTCAAAAATGATTTTTGATTTGATTCAATAAAATAAAACATTAACTTTAAATATTATTATAAATATTTATACCATCATATAATATATATGTCATATATTTTTCTTTAATTTTATAATTAATATAACATTGTGCTCCCATTATTATTATTATTATTATTATTATTATAATAAATTGGTATTGGATGATTTTCAAAAGGGGGTTTTAATGTTGATCAAAATTGAAACAATAAATATAATTTGAAATATAATAATAATAATAATAGTATAAACACAAGGAGAAAAGTTTAATTGGGTTTGAAGAATCAGTTTGTTCTTTAGGTCACATGGGGAATTTGAATGACCGGTCAGAAAGTAAAGTATAGTATATAATACGTTCGGACGAAAGGAGGGCCCGCGATGGACTGGCCTCGCCAACCCAAGTCCTCCTACCTTTGGGATCAGGTCCCACAGCCTCTACGATCTTACCTCTACGATCCTACCTACCTACCTACCTACCTACCTACCTCTGCATCTGTCTTTCTCTTTCTTTCTCCTCCTCCCTACTTTTCTTTCTTACTCCCTCCAATTCTTACTCTATCTCTCTGTCTCTCTTTCATACTTTCTGTTTCTCTTTCTCTTTCTCTTGTTCACTCTTTCGTTTATTCACTATTTCTCTTTCTCACTTCTTTACTCTCATCTTCTATCTTATTTTTTAGTTTTAATCTTATTCTTTTTAGTTTTCTTCTTCTTTAGCTACTACTACTCTTCTTCATCTTCTTCTTCTTCTTCTTTAGCTACTACTACTCTTCTTTACTCCCATCTTCTATCTCATTTTATGCTTATTTTTATTTGTATTATTTTTATTCTTGTTTTTTTTTACTCTTATTTTTTTTTTAATTCTTTTTCTTTAGCTACTACTCTTCTTCTTCTTCTTCTACTTCTTCTTCCTCTACTTCTTCTTCTTCTTCTTCTTCTTCTTTTTTAGCTACTACTCTTCTTCATCTTCTTCTTCTTTAGCTACTACTCTCATCTGTACTCTCATCTTCTATATCATTTTATTTTTATATTCTTTTTATTCTTTAGCTACTCTTCTTCTTCTTCTTCTTCTTCTTCTTCTTCTTCTTCTTCTTCTTCTTCTTCTTCTTCTTCTTCTACTTGTTCTTCTTCTTTAGTTACTACTATTCTTCTTTACTCTCATCTTCTATCTTGTATTATTTTTATTTTTTGTGTTTTTATTCTTTTTATTTTTTTTTATTCTTTAGCTACTACTCTTCTTCTTTTTCTTCTAATTCTTCTACTTCTTCTTCTTCTTCTGTAGCTACTACTACTCTTCTTCTTCTTCTTCTTCTTCTTCTTCTTCTTCTTCTTCTTCTTCTTCTAATTCTTCTTCAGTTTCTCATCTCATGTCGTATAACCTCATACCTCTTTCCATTCCCCTCTTCTTCTCCTTCACCTTTCTCTTCTTCTCTTTCTCTTTCTTTCTTTTTCTTTGTGTTTTTGGTTACCCCTTTGCTTTAGTTTGAGTTACCTGTGATATTCAAACACTTCTGTTTTACTTCTACTATATTCGCAAACTATTTGTTTCTTTGACAATGAGACTTATGAATTCACTGAAGTAATTTTTAATCATTTTCATTCCTTAATTTTGTTATTTCTTTTT